ATTGTCACAGAACTCGCAAGGGTGACACGGGTAATGCAAAACTACGTCAGTTTTGTTGTGTGCAAGTGTAGTGCAGTTATTACACATGAGATGGATGGATGGATGGATAGATGGATTGACAGATAGACAGATAGATACGTAGTGTATTCGGTTTTGCCATCCACCCTCGAATGCAGAACAATCTGGCTCCCACCTTGACAAGATAGCTATCCGGATGACATGGGAGTCCAGCAAACGATTTGTCCCCATCAGTCCAACCGTTAAGCAAAGCCAGCTGTTGGAGTTTAATGAAATTTATATGTTTTGAACCGCATCACATACTCAAGACTCCTTTGAGCCTTGAGCAGTCTTGAGATTGCACAGCAACTGTGCAAGTAGGGTGCATGGCATGAATTTAAAGGAAACACGTCAAGGACATTCGTATCAGGCACAGTTGGGCCAGGCGGCTTGATTTGTTTGAGTAAACCGATGTACGAAGCTTGAGATGTAAATGGATTCACCCACCAGTGTTCAGGAAACTGATGAGACAGCATAAGATCACCTACGAGGAGCTCAAGATCATCAGGTATTGTCATTGACTATATACGTGGGCACTCGTCACTGAAGCCAGAGTTTGGTCACGCTTTCTGCAGCTGCATACTCAATAAGTATAGTTTGCTAGGGGCGTTTGACGACTGCTCAAAACAACCAGACCACGAAGCACTGTATGGTCGCTGTAGCAGTTCTAGTCTAACATGCAATTTTTTGCAGGCTCTGCGCAGAAGGTACTGGAATGCACGGTAGTCTAGACGAAATATATGTATGACATGTTCAAGCCTTTTTGGGGACCAACAACAGCGGTAGTGCCAGGCACATCGGATGACTTATTTGCACAATGACTTGACACTGTTGGCTTCTTGTTGCAATTCAATCACCCTGCCGCTATGACACATGCGCCTCTAAAGACGGCAAGTGTGAGAGTAGACGTTCAGGGGCATTGACCCTGGTCAGAAGTTCTCAGCGTTTTCAGCCTTCCACGTTGTTTCAAATCCTTGCGCATCACTTTCCAGGAGCATATTCAACAGTTGAAGAGACAAGCTGCTCTTACATCGACTACAACCTCCGCAGCCCCTGCATTTGAGACATCAAGTGAGACGCGGTGGAGCTGGCAGTTTGCAAAGGGGCATTGGGGGTTCAATTGCAGGGTGAATTGGTGTGCTATGGTGCGCTGTTTTGCTTTGAAGATAGATGATAGATGACGATAGTATCGTACAACATATCGATTCAAATTGATTCTCTTGATATCTCTTGATGTTGAGCACCCACAAGTTCTGCATTGAACACAGAGCCGGGATGCAAAAGCCTTTGACACATTTTTGTTCAACATGTGCATTGAAAGACTAGCTTTATGTTGAATGCATGTTGTCATGGCTTGCGACAATTTCAAGCTTTTAATTCAGCCCAATGTGAACACTGGAGAGAGGGGGTTGGTTCATGTTGGTTCTGTGCTTGTTTGATGTCCAGGCTACCAACTTTGCTCTTGGAGGAGGTCCAGCACTCGGGACTGCCACACCAGACTCCCAAATCTACTGATAGACGACGCATGAAAGACCTCGAGGTTCTCGGCTACGTAGACGTAGATAATAGGAATTGCATGTGAGATTGGGCCAAGAACTCCAAGATCCACTTGGATTCAATCAAGTACCCTTCTGGATGGATGTTTTGTGGGGATTCCACCAACGATCTTGAGATGATTTGGGTGGTGCAAGTAAGGCATGTTCATGCAAGCTCTCTCAAGACCACTCCGAGCATGGTGAAAAACACGTTCGAAAGTTCACGCATTTCAAAAAGACAGCTGGAACAATGTGCCAGCAACACCTTTGCGAGGCCAATCCTGCGAAGGTGCCAATGATCCCAATTGAGAATACGAGGACTGGACCGATGGTCTAATCCGGACATAAACTTCTTCAGATGCACTGGACATCGATAGCTGACATCAAATCAGGCCTATGATTAATCATACATACAGTAACCCCCAGGACCTCTATGTTCATTTATATATATAATCAATCATATTTAAACAATTGATGGGTGTTTAAAAGTTAGTTTCCTCCCCACCTCAGGATCACCCGGCCCCCCCCTTGCTGACCGCAGGTGAAGCTAGGTCATTTTTGCAATTACTGTAGACATATGTACATTTATCTATTTGTTATTCATAATTTAGATAATGCTTGAACATATACGGTGAATATGAACTTTGGGATGCTATACTTGTGTACGTTCCTGGATCCAAGATCTGAGTTTCTGGGGGGACTCAACATCACATTTTTTGTTCAAGGTTGAATCCTCAATGCACCAATATTACACAAGCTCAACCGTGGATATAAGATGTTGTTTTGGGAGTCCCCAGGCTTGTACGCGTACAATACGAGAACAACCTTTGAGTCTGACATCTTCTAAGTACATCTGTGCATTACTCCATGTCGTTTGAGTACTTTGTATCAGGTGGCCTGCAGTGACTTCATGTTTACATCAAGCGCCCTTTCGACTCGAAGTGTTTGAGTTTTTGCCTTCTTCTCTAACACTCTGCACCATGCTTTGTGTGATACCCTGATATTGTTTCTCTTCATTCAATTCTATGTGGACTGCAAACTCTGGTTACCTCCCGAATGCGCAGTTCCACTAGGATGCAGGATTCAGAGAGGAGTGTGAAGGTCTCACACGTTGTGAGAAGCTGGAGACCTGTGACCAGTGTTCTTTTGGAAGGCACACTCTTAAACGTCCACGCAGCCGACGGGATGTTCAACCGGGACATTCCTTTTCCTTTCTTAGTCTTAGTCTTGCTCATATGACTCTGACTATGTGTGTGTATATGTATATATATGTATATATCTTTGAGGCATGCGACTGACATTTTGACACGGCTCCAAGTGTGGCACTGCATTTAGCATGTTGGTGTCACAGCTTTGCTATCAAGCACTTCTTACCTCACTTTCGTCCTTTTGCTCGCTCATCGTGGCTGTGGAAACTGATGACATGACGTGCCCAAATACGTGGCCTTGCGCAAACACACCTTGCTCCACACAGGCAGGGTGGTGAAAGATCAAAGCGGGCACGCAGATCTTTGATCGCGTGGAAGTTATGTAGATCCGGCGTGATTTTAAGCCAGGGCGCCCAAGCAGGGCCCACTCTCAACAGCGTGTATTTGCGTGTCACCTTGCAACAGGAGCATGCAATTGTCGTCTGAACCATTGGGCCTTGCAATTGAACATGCAGCTTTCATTTGAACACTTGGACGGTGCGACAGGAACAGGCAACCTTTGCTCGTGCATTAAATTAACGATTCCTCCGACATCACCCCTTGCAATCTGAAGCTCAAGTCTGCACTCCTGACATCAATCATTCAAAGTGCGGGTCCGGGGGGGTGGCATAAAAGTATATATTAGTTACACATTAAACATCGTCATTGTTCTATGAATGCAGTATGATTATATCATTGCGCATATAGGTGTCCCCACTACGAAGCTCCTTTAATTAAGCCACCTTTAAGCATACAGGGGATACTGTTTTGCTCGTCAAACCTGGGAAACGTCGCCCTAAATCAGACCGCCTTCAGAGGAGCCAACTTGGCAACTAGCCACAATTTTTTTTTGCCGCGCTTGGGGCCCAAGAAGCAAAAAGTGTAGGCTGACTGTTTTTGCAGATGGCAATGGAACTATTGGTGCGTCTCGAAAAGAACTGTGTTTAACAGTCACATCAGTCACTATGTGCAACGACAAAACAGATTCAGCAAAACAGAAATGTGTGCTTTTGACCCAAGCTCGCTGGACAAGCAACAATTTGACCTCAGCTTTCCAGGTTCTGATGCTAGATGAGACGGTTTGATGCATTGGTTCTGTCCTTGCTTGGCAAAGCCAGCAGGTTTGGAACGACTTCCGACTGTGCAACAAGGAGTCCATTTTTTTTGATGTGACTACTGGCCGATCACAGCAGCGGCTAACATCTCTTAGGATACCAGCAAGCGTTGCTGGTTGTTGCCCAATTTGCAGGTCGGTTTTGCATGAAAGTGTGGTCTGCCATGCTGTGCTAACACACAAACAACCCCCACTGCTACGCTGGGAATGGAATGATTGCGCTGTAATTTCAAGAATAGGCGTCGCGCCTTTTGAGATTCAAAAACAACCGATGCGTTCTCTAAAACCAAATTCCATCACTTTGTTTGCAGCAGCGGACCGTAATTATTGAAACTTTGGTTTTGAGACACAATATCACTTTTGGTTTCGGATCTAGAAAGGTCCGATGAATTTTGAGACTCAGGTAGACCGATTATTATTAATACTTGCTGACTTGCTATCAGAGTGCGCCTTATCTGGACATTGCAACTTCCTTCATGATATTGACTGGGCTATGGTGAACAGATGACCCAACAATTTCATGGTGGTGTTTGACTTAGGTTTTGGACTCAGTATGACTTGCCAGCTGGGTACAATGACTTTGGCAGACTAGCCTGCATGCAAAAGCACCTGGTGCCCAGCTTGCATTCCCGACATCCGACCCGGATGCGAGAATGACAAAAGGACCATGCTGTTGGCATCTTGACATAAGTCATATTCTTTAAAACTATATCATCCTTGTGGCATTTCCACCAAGTCCATCCCTGTTGCCATTGCAATGGAACAAAAACTGTTATATACGCCCTTTGTATAAACCTTTATGATGTTGTTTGAGTTCCTTAGGATACAGGAGACGGGCAGGGTCGCTCATTGCCATTGAAGAAGGCTACGCAAGTTCAACAGGTTGCTGTTGTGATCAATGTCGAAGTGCCGTTGATAGTGAGTGTTTGAACTTGTTTGCTTGAGGTAGGCCAATCATGGCAAATCAGCAGTTCCCATGCTTGTAACATTGAAATACATTGAAGACAGTGTTTCCCCTTCAGTAATCATGTTTCCCCAGCTCTTGTCATTGGCATGCTCGTATTGACAGCTTCGTCCCTCCAAAGCCCCAGCAGTCCAAACTGAGAGGCACGCCAGCTGGAAAGCGCAGGACAGCTGGAGGACTCGCCTCTTTGCATTGAGGTAACAACTTATTTTTTGAGGCTGCGGTCTGCCCTCCTATTACTTAATTAAGTAGAGACCACCTACTTAATTAAGTAAGGGCGATAGGACGCTCCTAGGTAGGACGCAGGATAGCTCAAGATTCTTTGAAGCTCCCCCCGACTGAGGCACCCATCGTTTGGTTCATTGGCCTGGATCTGGCTGGCTTACCCTGAACTGGGTGCGCTGGGAAGACAGAACCTAATAATAGGCATTGGCCTGTATAGTCATCAGTTATCATTGAATAGCTAACGGGCACCAAGAGTGAAGCCTTCATGCACAACCACGAATCATGCTTGTTATGGATTTGCCATGCACCCGAAAGGAGGCATTGCGAGAATACCAAAGCAGTGCACAGGTCTTTACCTTCGTTTGGAAGTCGCTCGGCCTTACTTGCATTGATTTGCATTGGCAACTTGCAACTATTGTCGGAGAGGAGATTGAAGACTATTTCTTTGTGGTTTCCTTGGCTTCTTTTTTTCATTTGCCCTCGAAGAGGACTCGGAGCCTCTCGTCGACTCGACTAGTGTGCGTAAAGGGGGGTCACTTTGATCACTTTGACTTGTGTCGTGCTCCAAGTGCTGGAAGCACAGAGGTGTCATGCCACTTAAGATGCTTGCTGTTTTCCAAGGTGGGAGGCCAACCAGCGCATCAAGGCGAGCGTTGCGCGATTGTCTTTGCAAACAGAGAAGCTCATGAGTAATGGCAGCTTGGTCATTCGCCAGGAAATGGTCCGTGAAAGATTAGAAGATGTGGTGACCAGAGTCTGGGGCCCAAGGGGAAGCGTGATTGTAATCCGGACACCTTTCGAAGTCATGTTGTTTGGTCTTTTAGGAAGGGGCTTACCTTCTTTTGTGAGCTTCTTTGGCAGTGTGTATGATCACGGGTGCTTATGGGTACATATGGAGGATTGGTCGCATCAAATACACTGCTGCAAAATTGGCATGTTGTTTTGGAACTGCCATGAGCTGTGTGGAGCTCATTGCCTTTGGTTTGTTCATGCATTAGCAACTTGCACCAATTCAAATTGCACTCATCAGGTAATCTGTTTGGACTTTGTTGTCCATAACACACTCAACAGCTCTGGAGTTTGTTGCCGTGTCAATCGATAGCCTGAGCATTGAAGGCTGAAAACCTGAAGAAAAATATCAGCAATGGTGTCAAGGCAGATGACACGCGAAACGGAAGTCTTCCATTGGATGCATGTGGACGCTGGTTTGAGTACGATGTCAGAAGGCCAACTGGGCCCAACTAGGCCGAAGTACTCAGGACCGCACACTTCAACTCTAGACTTGTGCGACGGCTTGAGATTCGTATTGTGCGAGCGTGTGCCGGCGCTCGGGTGTGGTGCATTGTGAGTATCTTGGGTGGGCAGCCGTCGAGTATTCCCTTGCATGTTTCGCCAAGTAGATGTTGGATGGCCTTGATATGCCTTGCTTACATGGAACAATAGATAATAACAAATAATAGGTGGGTGCATTGGGCACGTGCGATCCTGCGTCAGGGGCCCACCAGCCCCTCGGGTGGTGGCTATGCTGGTGCTGCTACTCAAGCGCCACCAGCTTCAGGTGAAAACTGGGATTGGGCTTAGTTGCTTTGCGTTTGGATGTTGAAGTAGACTCCTTTTTGTCATGTTTTGTCACTTTTGGTCAAAGGAGAGGAATGCTTTGACGATAATTGACGCGATGATACCTGTTACATCCTGTTACCGAGTTGTACATCGTTGGCAAAATGCACACGAGAAATAATTAAAACATGAACAGCTACAGTATACCCTTCGCAACAGGCATCCAAAAGAGCATCTTTCTGTACTATGTAAGGTCTATGTTCACTTTGCTTTGTGTTTATGAGTATTTGCGAATGCCCTTTGCTCCCATCCTCAATCAGATGTCCGCGACCTGCTGACCTGCTGCCACTTGTTTTCCTTGTTTTGACTTGAGGGACCGCTGAAGATGCAGAAGATAAAGAAAAAGAAAAGCTGAAGAGTCGGGCTTAGAGTTCTACTCGTATTGACAAATCCAGAATTCCAAGCAATTATCATGTTGTACCACGAACTCTTCATCTGGACATCTGTACATGGAGAGCATTTGGAGTGTGCTTTCGCTTAGATAGTCCGACAAAAGCTGCTCCATTTGTCATTCCGCAGATCCAGGACTCCATTCCCAGACTCGACCAAGTGACTCCTTTCTCTGTCCAGACAAGACTTCTCGTCATTACGACGTGACCCAGGAAAGGCTTAGAGGGCGCCATCATGACCAGCAAGCCCAACATCAAGTGATTCTCTCAGCACTTTGCGATGGAAAGTATGCAACGTAAGTTCCGTAAGTTGCAAGCGGAGGTTTGGAATCAGCCGATGTTTGATGAATATGATCCCAACATATCCCAACTGGATGCACCCCAAGTCCCAATCGAACAGCTACTGTATTTCTTGACAGGCTCTTCGTGGCCGTTTCAGAATTTTGTGCATCAAAACCAAGCCCATCCTGTTTTGAACAAGGTGGGATGACGTGGCAGGTTTGGAGGCCACCCCGCTTGAACTGCTTCGGATGAACTGAGAAGTGAATATACACATGCCACAAAAGGATTTGCAACGAGGAATGAGGCCTGTCATGGCATGTCATGGCCTTTCGTGGCCTTTCAATAAGATTTGATGCGCCTATTCTAGGTCTCCGTCGCCTGGGTCGGGTGATTCAAGCTCCGGAGCAAGATACGCACTGGATCAGAGCTTGTGGAATCCGTGGAACTAAAGCGGTTGCTCAGGGCGCCAAGGGCGCTTTGCAGGAGACTGTGATACTTCCAACCAGGCGGGGCCAATTTTGGAGAGTGAAGGTGTTCAAAGCTGTAATCCATCACAGAGAACAAGGTTTCTAGCTGAAGTTCACACGATGTGAAGCCTGGTGCCTGATGCCTCAGCTTTTGCATAGCTTTGCAAACAATACTGTAATTTTTTACTACTAGCGAGGCGCTTGTTACTACTAGCTTTTTGTTACTACCAGTAAGGCACCTGTTACTACTAGCGAGGCACTTGTTACTACTTTGTTTTGCTGGCACTATCAATTTGCCGTTGTCAACTGCATCCCAAAGAATCGAACATGAAGAGTAGGATGCCGCAAGGTTTCCGCAGCTTTTCACTGGAAAGCGAGTTCCCTGGACTGTGCCCCAGAGTGAAGTCTCACGGAAAAACTACTATTTAATGGAACATGTTTGTACAATCGATCGAACATGGAGTACTTGTTCCTTTTTCTAATCAGATCATTACAGAGTCCAGCGTCACACAGTAAGATTTTTGCTGGAGCCCAGCTTTTCTGCTCAAACTATATAATGACAGATGAGGGAAGTTCGAACCAAAATTTGGGAACCTTCTTTGCCATTCGGACTCCCTTGTACTGTAAGATCGGCGTTTTCCTAGGCATGGAATTCTTCTTTACGGACCACCTGGAACAGGGCAGGGAGCCCTGGGATTTCACCACTCTCACTCTGCATGCAATCAGAAGAGGGTGTTTCTTTTCTTTTTGCCATGAGTTTAAGATATAAAAGTTTCTTTTGCAGCCAACATTGAGGGGTCCATGTTTTGCAAGTGGCCTTGGCCTGCAGTCTCGCAACTGCGAAGTCTGGATGATGCCAGCAGCATACCTTGTTCTGCGGAGGAAGTCCTACTTGGCGAAGGCTTGCGCAACAGAGGTGGCGCTGGGCCTTTAAGCACGGGCATGGGATGTTTCCAGACTATCAAACACAGCGTCCCTCCAAGGACAAAACTGATCAATTATATATATAATCATCAGTCCCTGGTTTGGCATCTCACTTGTGAGCAGATACGATAGGAGAAAATCACGTCCCCAAAGCCAAGCGTGGTTGTCATCCCCGCAGGAGTCTGGGGAGATGGGTAAAGAATGGTAAAGAGGTGTTCAACTGGTGCTCGACGGGTGAGGCTGATGCCACCTTTTTCAGCATCTCTTCTTCTGACCTCGTCAGCAGCTCAGAGAGGGTCAGGAAATCAGGCTCATAAGCAGACATGGACACCGCCATAGTGCCATAGACCACCACAGATTTATTCATAGGGCCTGTTGCAGCCATTTGAGCAGTGTTCCAGGTCTCCAAGTGGATGGGGGAAAGTGAGAAGCTGGTGCAGGACTCAGTGCAGTGCAGATGCTTCCAGAGAGGGAAGTCAGTGAGTAGTTGGACCATGTTGGACCTGTGTTGCAAACCTTTGGGACATGAGAGTCGAGAAACCAACAGCACCCCTGAAAACTATTTACAAAATATATTTTGAAGGGACAGAAACCTTCAAAGGAGTCTTCTCCGGGACCATTCGTTCCGAGTAACGGTTCTAACTAAGTCAGTGAACAATTGTTCGTATATCACATTCTTGTTTGTGATTCCACTTGATGATGTACTGCATTGCAGCCCATAGCCACAAAAAAACACGGCAAAGTTGGGTGTTTGTAACTCTACTTCGATAATTCCTTCTGCATTTACGTCTTTGCAGCATCACTATTGGAAATTGAGGTTGCTTCATGTTAAAATTCTTGCATTTGTGTATGTTGGGCATTCAGCTTGAAGCGCATCGGTGTCCCAACAAACGAAGACACTGTGTGCACGTATAAGCATTCAAACATATTGCAGCAACAAAAGCGACATCAGACTTGTTTGCAGTTCAATTGGTAAAATTTACATTGATAACCCATCTCAGCTACTTCAACAGTTTCAATGAAAGTGCCATAGATTTGCCCCTGTACTTGGTACACACATCTTTTAAGTCGTTGTTTTCCCTGCCCTCACACCTTGCAACAATACTTTTAGTTTTAGAAATGTATCACAAGCCTTGCCACCAAGTCACATTCATGCATTGTTTATTTGAGTCAAATTGTCAACCACCCTTGACTTTTATGTTGTTGCATGAGACCCCAGTGGTGCAGCTTGATGCTCAGTATATACCCCATTTTAGGCTGCAGGCATAGAGATGAAGGAAGGGAACCTATGAAAGTCTTTGAAAAGTTCAAAAGGGTGCACTTGTTCCTAGTAGCTTATTGTTTCTGCTAGCTTCTTGTTACTACTAGTAAGGCACTTGTTACTAGAAGCGATGCACTTGTTCCTAGTAGCTTCTTGTTACTGGTGACACCGTTGAAGGTTAGAAGCCTCTTCGAGATGGCCCGCGAAGCCAAGCCCGCCATTATTTTTGTGGACGAGGCCGCCTAAGGAGTGGTTTGTCCATGAGTCCTTCAAGTCCTTCGGCAGAATATGAGACATATTCCAGTTTCATCACAGGTTCATCCAGTTTTCATGTCATCTAAACTGTCGACTCCAATCTCATGTTGCTTCGTCCCATTTCCGCCCACACGAACACTTCACTTCACTTGTGTCATGCCACCAAATATGGGTTCATGGTGTCGCAACCTAACTATCACCCTTGCGAATTTGTCTTATCGTTTGATCTCGCTTTCAGATCATTTTAAACTATTTTAAACTCATTTAAGCATGTCTACTGCTTTGACCTCACACGTTAGAAGCTCAGTTCAGCTCAGTTCAGCTCAGTTCATCACCTCATCTCAGCTTCTTCAGATACTTGTAGTCCAGCCCAGCTCCTGATTCGACAGATAGGCCGCTACGTGGCTAGCTGCTTTCATGAACCTCCTGGCCTCCAGCAAGTGAAGCTTTAGGGCTCTTTGGTCGGATACCAGGATAACCCATGCATTCCAGGGCTGATGCGTAAGTAAGAAATTGAATTATATAGTTTGTTCGACGTAGAAAAAAATAATCACGAAAGCCAGCCGGTAGGCAAGGCTTGAGTTCTTAGGGTGAACGAGGTGAATAATGGTTGATTGCACTCGGGCATATTTTGGAGGTCGAACCCTGATCCTGGTGGGGGAGAGCGAAAAAAAGTAGGGCCAGGAAAGCATCAAAATAGGATCGAAAAAGCGGTTTGGTGATGCAAGTGATGTAAATGACGCGAGTAGTGCATCATTAGCATCACGAAGGGGTCTGGAGACAATTTTTATTTGCTTTCTGGAGCATCATTAGCAGAAAGGTCAGGTAGAATGTCACAAGGCTTGCTAGAGAAAATATCAGAAGCTTTGCCAGATAACATGTCCGAAGATAGTCCTGGTGGGGATCATTCGAAATGGGGATCACTCGAAATGTCAGAAGCTACTCATGATGAGGATCACTTGAAATAAGTCCGTGATCTTTTTTTGAGAAAGAGCACCCGACGACCAAAAGAGTCGAAAGGGTTAGCACCACGGAGGAAGCCCATGCACGACTAACCACCCCCAGAAGAGAATGTCAGATGATTAGCCAGATAAACTGTCAGAAGATTGTCATGGTGGGGATCACTGGAAATGTCAGTAGATAGTCACGGTGGGGATCACTCGAAATAACTAAGTGATTTTTTTCTGTGGCCATTAGCAGAAAGGCCAGGTAGAATGTCAGAATCAGAAGATTTGCCAGAAAGCATGCCACAAGATATGCCAGAAATAATGTCAGACGATTTGCCAGATAAAATGTCAGAAGATAGTCATGGTGGGGATCACTGGAAATGTCAGAAGATAGTCATGATGGGGATCACTCGAAATAACTTAGTTTTTTTTTTCTTCCGTGGCCATGTGTGGAAGACTTCAACACGATGCCCGAAATATCGCCGATCACCGCGAAAAAACATATATTTCGGGCATCGCTGTTTTTGTACCGAAATTTCGCCGATCACCGCGAAAAAACACATATTTCGGGCATCGCTGTTTTTGTCCTGTTGGCTCACGTTTTGTTACTTCTCAGTTCCTTGCACCTTCACCCGGACAATTGGTGGGGATCACTGGAAATGTTAGAAGATAGTCATGGTGGGGATCACTCGAAATAACTAAGTGATTTTTCACGAAAGCCAGCCGATAGGCAAGGCTTGAGCTTTTAAGGTGAACGAAGTGAATAAAGGGGGTGTGGGGGGGGTGGTCGTGCAGAGGCCACTTTTGGGAGGTTGAACCTTGAGCCTGGTGGGGGCGAGCGTTCAAAAGTAGGGTCAGGAAAGCATCAAAAAAGTGGTTTGGCGGTGCAAGTGATGTAAATGACACCGAGCGGTGCATCATTAGCATCATGAAGGGGTCTGGAGACAATTTTTCTACTCCTGAGCAGGGCATAGGGACTGTGTAGCTCTGATCATACCAAGAAGGACCGAACAACAAAGACTGAACGCGCTCAGAGCGAACGATGTGAGTATGTCCAGTTGGGCGAGGGTGAACTCAAGGCGGGACACGCGGAAGCGTTCAACACGATGCCCGAAAGGATGTTTTTCGGGCCTTCATTATGTATCTCTATACGGAGTCTGATTGTTTTGCTTAGATCTGGGGCATGCACAGATCAGGGGCATTTCTGGACAAGCTTTAGCAGGCTGCAGCTCTGAGGTTTCGTAGCGAGCAAGCGAGGGGCGTTTAGCAGCAACTCTCTGTGGCCAGGTGCGCAAGACTTAAACTTAAACACGATGCCCAAAATATGGCCAACAACAGCGAACAAAACTATTTCGGGCATCGCTGGTGTTTTTCGTGTTGGCTCACGTATTGTTAATTGTCAGTTAACTACCTGCAGGTTTTTTGCAGTTCCTTGCACCTTCACCAGGACCATCTTCGTCAGTGCATTCAGCCACACACATTGCTAGATAGAATGTCAAAAGATGTGCCAGATAGAATGTCACGAGATATGCCAGAAAGAATGTCCGAAGATATGCCCGAGAAAATGTCAGAAGATATGCTAGAAAGAATGCCAGACATAATGTCAGAAGATTCGCCAGAAAAAAAATCAAAAGAGGTGGCAAAAAAGAAGGTAAAAATATACCACAAAGTGAATAGGGGGGGTGGGGGGGGGTGGTCGCGCAGAGGCCACTTTTGGGAGGTCGAGCCTTGAGCCTGGCGGGGGAGAGCGTTCAAAAGTAGGGTCAGGAAAGGATCGAACAAGTGGTTTGGTGATGCACTTCATGCTGTGCTCCGATCTTGATCTACTCCACGTTGATACAAGCTCCACGAAAGCTACAGGCATTCAACAATAAGTGCTCCGCCATTTTTTACTCCCAGTCTTGCACTACCATATTGGTCTCTCGCTGGCTTTCGTCCTCTCCTTTCTCAGGTATATATATATATATATATAATTAGGCTATTTAGCACCTGAATTGCATGTTTTTTCTTTTAACAGTCTAGGGTGTTGGAGTGAACCCCAGAATATTCCTGAGCAGAAACTTAGCCGACAGGCGGCAGTATTAACAACTCGAGCTAGCCATTGTTGTCAACACACTCTCATGTGTATTGGAATCGCTGCTCGCTTTTTTTTTTTCGTTTACCATGCTTTCTGATCTGATGGCCTAAGCGGTTGCGATGCGGTGCGATGTGGATGGTCCGTAGCGCAGGTCGACTCCCTTTGTGGCGCCCGCGGAGAGTCTGGCGAGTCTGATGCTGCCCGACGGATCAAGACCGAATTCCTGGCGCAGCCACACTGGCTGGAGTTTTGGTTGGAAAGTGACCGAATGGACATGTTTTGATGGACGCATGGCATTTTATGATCTCTTTGTATCCTTGATGCTATGTTAACTTTGGAATCCGGGCACTGTGCAGTACCCAAGAGTTTCTTCCACCATTCGCTTGCAGCTTGCATAGTTACCAGAAATCGTATTTAATTATATATATATTACCATGTAGTTGTTGTACGCAAAGTGTTCAATGCCTTTCAAGGAGTGATACAGTGATACTGACTGCAAAAGTCTCCCAAGCCCCGATGAGTCAACATGTCAACATGCTTGCAATTGTACATGTTTTTCTACTCCCAATAAGAGCCTGCCTGCATGCTGCAAAACAAAATAGATTCAGTATGTGTCAGTAACTACTGACTGCTGATTAGGGATGTGCCAAAGCAAACAGCATGATTGACAGTCAGACATCAGAAATATCCTTGCAGCGAATACCACCCTTTCAGCCTCGCCAGGATGGATGGTGCCCATGCCTCAATAAAAAAACGTGTGAATTCATAGGATCAGCCTTTGAGATGATCCTCTCCTTTTACAAGAATTCACTCTTGGAATCTTGTATATATATATATATATATATGATATTTGCCCAGCTTTGGCGTTGGCCAAGTTTTTGAATTTACTTTGTTGGTGTCCGTGGTTCCTGCCTGTCTCATCCATTGAAAGTTGCAGACGCAGTCGGCTTCTTGATGCTGATGAGGTTGGCAAAGATAGCTCTCAGATATTGGTCTTGGGGGCAACAAACACTCCCTGGGACCCGAGGGAGACTCATGTCTAGAGAGTCTAGGCACTGGTACTTGAAGCATCTTGAAGTTCTGCGAGCGCTTATAGAAAAACTATCATACCTATTGACCATTTTCGCAATTAACAGTCTTTCCAAGGACTTGCTAGATGGACTGTAGTCTCAGCACAATGCCAGCGACGTTGACTCAAGCAAAGTAATCAAAACATGTTTCAACTAGTCTCAACACGGTAGATTGGTTTCAGTCTCGGAACATTCAATCACCATTAGAGAAGCAACCCATGAAGTCTCGGCACTCTGATTTTGTTCGTTGGAACCAACGCCGTGGCGACCTGCTCTCCAGGACCTGGACTCGGCGATTCGCCGCCGATTCGAGAAGCGAATCTACATCCCTTTGCCGGTGCGGCATTGATCAGTTGTCAAAGATTTTAGTAGCTTCTTGTTACTAGTAGCGATGCCAGGAGCCCCTAGTTAGTAGTGTCTTTGCTCCCAGTAGCAAGGCCAAGGATCCCCTAGTAGCTTCTTGTTACTAGTAGCGATGCCAGGAGCCCCTAGTTAGTAGCGTCCTTGCTCCCAGTAGCAAGGCCAAAGCTCCCCTAGTAGCTTCTTGTTACTAGTAGCGATGCCAGGAGCCCCTTAGTAGTGTCTTTGCTCCCTTGTTACTAGTAGCGATGCCAGGAGCCCCTAGTTAGTAGCGTCCTTGCTCCCAGTAGCAAGGCCAAGGATCCCCTAGTAGCTTCTTGCTACTAGTAGCGATG